TATAACTCGGTCCATGTCCTTGAACCTTCTTCTTCGTCTTCTCTGGGGGATGCTGAAAGCTTTAAGTTATCTGGACCTCAAATCCTTGCGCATATAACTCTAAACCGAACCCTTACCCTCATCCTAAATCTAACACTAACCCTAACCATAAGACACAAGCCTGGGGCTAAGCATATTTAAAGCGCGTTACGAATGATACCTCTCCCGAAACGGACTAATTAGATTTTCATGGGGTTATTCTTATGTCGGGATGGAATTTGTCATAGTAAGCAGCCATACTTGCTGGCTGGGGTGGCGTGCTACGATTTCCGTCTAACCCAGCAAATGCTTACTGTTGCGAAGTAGGTAGACAGTTATGCGAAATTTAAGCTGTTCTGTGATGTAAATTAAACTTCTACCCTTGTTTTGAGCTTCATCCAGAGCTCTAGGGTCAGTGGCTTGGCGACTATCCGTATATACAAAGACAATGGGACTAAAATTGACGTCTCTGACTTGTTAGACGTTATTAGTCCGTCGTACCCGACCCTCAGGTTGTGCACCACCCGAGGCTCGAACCTGCGACCTGCTGGCTAGGTATGCAACTTTGCGTTGCGTCACGGCCTGCTGTCGACTTATAAGCCCTAACTAGCCATTCCGTCTCCTTTTGCTTCTTTGATTGAATGAACTTTAGAAAGGAAAATTATTTTCTTATATTTAGCCACCCGATTTTTAGAAAAGGAACTAATTAATATGGAAAGACGCTCACCTGGAAAGTATAATCATGTCCTCTGAATTTTAGTAAAACAAGTTCGAATTCGCTATCGGCAGAGGAAAAAGAGAACAGATGTTTGCCTGAGTCAGACGTTGTGCCATGCATATTGCCTCTCTTGACTGGCGATTGGTCATAGACTTTAGCATAAACAATAATTAATTCTCGATGATTGGTTCGCCCGCACCCCCATTCGTCAGCCTTTTTAGACGAGTACGCATAACCCCTGACCAGAAGTCCGCAGGAATGTACAACTATCTCGAATGACTGCAAAATTTCGCGTTCCAGGTATCTGCATGGATAAGGAAGAAGACGTGTCGAGCACCGGATCAATTGATTTATTGTCCTGAGCTTTCGAACTCTTACAGGAGTTCATTTTCAGAGGACAACTATCTGCTAGCTACCCTTCTGGTGGCTGTCTCGTAATTTAGTTTTCATATTGACAGGGTTAAAGAGACAATAATCAGTAATTATAAATACGAGTCTGACCATTCATCTGACTCCATTCATTTTTCGTATATGGTCGTTTTAATTGAGCCTCAGGCGAGAGATCAGATCGTTTGTTTTTTTACGTTGCTATTTTTATCAAATACTTGGAGACAGTGAAAGTCAAACGGCGATTTCGATTTAAGCGTTAATAAACAAAACTGTCATTCGTTGATTTGCGGTTACCGATTGCTAACGGAACTCACTACCTTGGAGCTCATTTTGGAATCCTGCCAGCAGCCGCACAACGGCTAGTAACCCAGGACGCTAGCATTGCCGGGAAAGACAAGAGAGACTGGAATGGCAATTTCGGGCTCATTACACATCACCAGTCAGTCCTACCCAACCCCAACCCGAGGGTCACACCCGTAACCTTTTGATTAGAAGTCTCACTTGTCTTTGCCGCCAATGCTATTTGAATTAAAATGCGTTTTGATTACAGAAGATATGCAGATTTTCAAACTAGGCCGACAGTCTCAAGGAAACATGCGAGCAGTTAAATATGGAACTATATTGGACGTTTTTAAATAATTCATGAAGTATTCCTTTCATCATCTCCGGAAGAGGAAGAGAAAGGGGCGATTTCTGGGACCAGATACGTCGATGACACTTTCGTCATCACCAAAAGAGGCAAACTACAGACCTTTAAGGCACTGCTGAACTCCATCTTTCCTGACATTCAGTTCATTATAGAAGAAGAGGTCAACGATCGGTTACCCTTCCTCGATGTACAAGTGACGAAACTAGCAGACGGAAAGATAAAGACGATGGTCTACCGCAAGGCAACCAATACCATGCGCATTCTCCACTTCAGAAGCAACCACCCCATTGGCCACAAACGCAGTTGTGTAAGAACCCTCTTCCAACGCGTTCAGACACACTGCAGTGAAGAAAGTGGAAAGAAGGAGGAGATTTAGTACTTACATGCCCTATTTCAGGCCAAAGGTTGTCCAAAGTCCTTTGTACGCAAGTGTCTTAAGAAGCCCCACCATGAACGGTCGAAAGGAGAGGACCCTAAGTTCTGGCTCGCGGTCCCTTATTTGAAGAATGTATCAGAGGCAGCTGCAAGAATCCTGAAACCGTTCAGGATTGATGTAGCTCATAGGCCGGATTCAACAAGCAGACAGCAGATCATGAGGTCTATAGACCCGATACCGTTGACAGAACAATCAGTTGTGGTCTACGGCATACCATGTCAAGACTGCAACGCAAGATATGTTGGTGAAACGGGCAGACGCCTTGGCACAAGGTTGCATGAGCATCAGCTCGCAATCAACTGCAAGGATAAGCTGTCTATGGTCTATGACCACATACAACAGAAGAACCACTTGTTCGCCTTTGACAAAGCAAGGGTAATAGGCCGAGCCAATGACAAGATGGCCAGATTGCTGCTAG